AGAGAAAATAACTATTCCCCATCTACCCTATCACATTCTTTCTCATCTCTGGTGTTAGCAATGGGGTTCAGTGGCTGTACTGTTGGCTTTGAGTCATGGTTCTAAGTCCCACTGTAGAGAATTTCACCCTAGGATCTGTTCTTCCATCTCTCCTGATCTCACCAGTCTAGTCTGGGTTCGCTATCCCATTAAAATCCTTATGCTAGATTACCAATCCCTTCTTAACGTCAACTCTCCATACCCACCCTCAATCAAAACTCTGTAAACTCTGTGAAGCTTACATATGAATATTGTCTTATGCAGTGGCCAATTTTATTTTTACAATCACAGGAGGTGGGCATTGTTGGACAGACCGGTATTTACTGACCATCCAGAATTGTCCTTCAGAAGAGAATGCCGAAGCAACTACTTGATTGGTTCTAGGCTATGTGGTGTAGGATCACCCTTAGTGCTGTTAGGGAGGGAGTTCTGGGATTTCTAGCCAGTGACAGTGAATGAATAGCGATGTAGTTCCAAGTCAGGATGGTGAATGGGCTGGAAGGAAACTTGCAGGTGTTTGTGTTGCCTCTAAGCTGTGCGGCAGTGGGCATGCATGGTGACTGGTGTTGGCATGCCAACTATGGCATTGACTTCCAGTTCCAGAAATCACTGCCATGCATGGATCTCCGGTAAAGCCAGAAAGGAAGATTAGAGGGAACATTGGTTCCCACATGCCTGCTGCCCTTGCCCTTCTAGGTGGCAGAGGAGGGGGGTTTGGAATGTAATGTCAGAGGAAGCTGGGATGAATTGCTGCAGTGCAAGTTGTAAATGGTATCTTCTGCTGCCACTGTGCATCGGTAATAGAAGCAGTAAATATTGAAGGTAATTACCTTTTGCATCCTCCTTGTGTTTCATGATTCCTGACTGGCCTTTCTCTCCACCGTCAAAGCCTCCTCATACTTTATCTCCCCTAGCTTGCCCACTCCGCCAAGCAATCTGTTTCTTCTCCGTGAAGCCCTTTGGGATGTGGCAATATCATAGCTACTATGTAAATCCCACCTGTTTGTGCTGAGTGGATAACCTCAGTGATATCTTAATCCACTGTTGAGATTAGGGGATATTTTTCAAATAATTGGAACTGTTGTAAACTCAATTTAGCAGTGAATTCAGTAAGATTTAAATGCATAAAAAATGAATAAGGCATTTGCAAACAATTAGGGGAACTGGTGAAAGGGCAAGAAGATAATCTTCCTTTACACTGTGGTGTTTAAATATCATTCTAATTCGAATTAAACGGCTGCTGAAGCAACCTGGTGCAGCCAGCCATCAGATTAATGGATCAAGTCTATTCACTCCACACAGATCCATGTGACGAGGGCTGTGAGTCTGTGATGGCTGCACTTTCTCCCTCACCCAGACTGTGACTTTTAAGCTCTGATGCTCACAGATTCCTGGAACTCCCTCAGGTCTGAGGATGAACAGCAGTCATTAAGAGGGACTGTGGAAGTGCTGTTACTTCTGATTGGGTGAGCGACAAAAGGCAAAGGTGCACTGGAAGAACAAAGCTTGTGCTCAGCAGTGAACAGCTACCCTGCCAGGTCGTAGGATTGTAGATGGCCATTTAGCTCCTGGGCTTGATCTATCATTCAATTAGATCATGTTGGGTTTGCATCGTAGCTCCATACTCCTGTTCTGATTTTTTAAAATTCCTCGTTTAATATTAAACAATCAGTCTTCATTTCGTCAGCTGTAATAATGTTTTGGGGATAAGTTCCAGCTTTCCACGACCCTTTATGCGCAGAAGCCTTTCCGAATATTGCCTTCAAATGGCCTGGCTCCAGCTTTAAGTTTATGCCCTTTAATTATGGATTGTGACATGACAGGAAGCACTTTCTCTCTCCTTACTCTATCCATTCCTTCAGTGATGTCAAACTCCTCAATGTGGCCATTCCTGAGTCTTCTGCTCCCAGGCCCAGAAGCACAAGCACCTTCCCTCCATATTAAGGTCAGAAGTGGGGATGTACACTGATGATTGCACTATGTTCAACATGATTTGTGACTCCTCAGATACTGAAGCAGTCCATGTTCAAATACATTAAGATCTGGACAATATTTAGGCTTGGATTGACAAGTGGCAAGTAACATTTGCACCACACAAATGCCAAACAATGTCCAAAAAGAGGCAATCTAACCACCACCCTTTGACATTCAGTGGTGTTATCATTACTGAATCCCCCACTATCAACATGCTGCAGATTATCATTAATCAGAAACTCAGCTGAAGCAGCCACATAAAAACAGTGACTATAAGAGCAGGTCGGAGGCTAGGAATACTGTGGTGAGTAACTCATCTCCTGACTCTCCAAAGCCTGTCCACTATCTACAAGGCACAAGTCAGGAGTGTGATGGAATACTCCCCACTTGCCTATATAAGTGCAGCTCCAACAACACTCAAGAAGCTTGACACCATCCAGGACAAAGCAGCCCACTTGATCGGCACTACATCCTCAAGCATTCACTCCTTCCACCACTGATGATCAGTAGAAGCAGTGTGTACCATCAACAAGATGCACTGCAGAAACTCACCAAAGGTCCTCGGATAGCACCTTTCAAACCCATGACCACCTCTATCTAGAAGGACAGGGACAGAAGATACATGGGAACACCACCACCTGTTGGTCCCCTCCAAGCTATTTACCATCCTGACTTGGAACTGTGTCGCTATTCCATCAGTGTCACTATACCAAAATCCTGGAATTCCCTCCCTCATGGCATTTGTGGACTGCAGTGGTTCAAAAAGACAGCTCACCACCACCTTCTCAAGGGCAACTAAGGACGGGCAATAAATGCTGGCCAGCCGGCAACACTCATGTCCCATGAGTGAACAAATAAAATAAAGTATCCTGTCCACATAATTCAATCCTTTTATCCCCATTACCATTCTGGTGAATCTTTGCTTCCCCTTCTCCAAAGATAAAATATAAAATATCATTCCTGTAGAATTGTACACAGCATTCTTGATGGCATCTAATTAGGGCTTGATGCATCAGGTACAAATCTCCACTCTTTTATATTCTAGCCACATGAGATGACCCTGTTAGTCTTTTAACTCATTTTTGTGTACCCATCCACCAGCTTTAAGTAATCAAATTTAAATTTTTATCAAATTTCTCTCATCCTCCTGTGACGATACTGTGGCTTTAAGAGATTTCTCTGCCTGTTAAAGAAGTTGCATATGAGACAAATCTGTTTTCTGAATTTGCCTTTTGCCAAGGGTGTGTTATGGGATATTACTGTATTGGAACAGTTATTAATAGTTACTGTATCTATTATTCTGTTAAATTGTCCAACAGAGTTAAGCTTTTACAATTATTTCTCTCTTTTGTTATATTTTAGCTATAGTAGATGAATAAAACATGTTTTGCTTTAAATCCGGTAGTTTGACCAATTGAACTGCATCTGGAATGCAACATCTTACATTTACCTTTAAAATAAGAAAAAGTTAGGGTTTAGAATATCTTCTGAATATGTTGAAGGGGTCTGGTTTGATCCATAACACTCCACAATCCCTACCTTCCAATCTGAAGTAATTTTCTACTTTTTGTGAATGGGATGAGGGCATCACTGGCTAGGCCAGCTTTATTGCCCATTCCTAATTGCCTAGAGAACAGTAAAGAGTCAACTACATTGCTGTGGGTCTGGAGTCACATGTAGGCCAGACCAGGCAAGGATGGAAAATTCCTTCCCTACAGGCCATTAGTGATCAAGATGGGCTTTTTCAAAAAAAAGGAAAAGCAGTGGCTCACCAATAGACTAGCATTTTAGCTCCAAACCTTTTTCCTTATTGAATTCAAATTTGCAATCTGACTTGGTGGGATTTGAACCCATGCATCAGAACATTTACCTGGTTTTCTTGAATTGCTAAGCCAGTGACAATAATCTTACACCAACACCCCTTATTGGAATGTTCCCGCTCCAGTCTGGAATAGCTCATAATTCTGGTAATGATATGGGTCCTTCCTTATATCCAAAGCCTGATTGCTGGTTCCAAATTAAGTGTGCTTTTGGAAAATGACAATCACAGACAGAAATGGAGAACAGAAGTGTCGCATGGAGACTCACACAGTAAAGTACTTTAGGGTGCTTCTAACAGGGCCACCAGAGGATCATGAAAATTAGAGAGCAAACTAAAAGAATGGCCGCAGGGAAAAGTTTAAATGAAAGGCTTGCTTCCAGAAATATTTCTTATCACTTTATCAGAGATATTATTACACACCCCTGGAACAGGTGGGGCTTGAACCAAGATCTCTTAGCCTAGAGGTAAAGATGCTGTCACTGCACTATAAGACACTTAACCTTACATTTACATTGTTCCTTTCATGACCTCAGGACATTCCAAAATACTTCACTAACTATCAAGCATTTTACAAATAGTTATTGTTGCAAAGTAGGAAACACAGCAACCAATTTATGAGTGATAAATATTGGACAGGACACTGGGGAGGGCTCCCTCCTGTTCTTCTTCAGGATAATATGATGGAATTTTTTAATATTCATCTCTGAGGATTGATGGGACCTTGACCTTCTGATAACGCTGCATCACTGACAGTGCAGCACTCTCTCAGTACAAGAATTGCACTATTTCATTAGGTCTCCAAAGTAGAACTCAACCCGATGACATTCCAACTGAGAAGTGAGAGTGCTACCCACTGAGCTGTGATTGACATCTACTCAGGTGAAAGTTGTCATGTGGCTTCTTATGCAGTGTGTGTGTGTGTGTGTCTGTGTGTCTGTCTGTGTGTGTGTGTATACGTGTGTGTGTGTGTGTCTGTCTGTGTGTGTGTGTGTGTGTGTGTGTGTGTGTGTTTGTGTGTGAGTATGTGTGTGGGTGTGGGTGTGTGTGGGTGTTGTTGGGACAACGTGATGCAACTGTAAAATCTGTGGTTAATGATGCCTCCAGGCAAGGTGGCAGTGGGCCAGCACTCAGGTAGCCAGCCTGACCCATTTCTCCTCATACTCACTTCTCCCCAGGCAGCGGGCAAGGGTTCCACAGGAGGGTAGTACTTGGGCAGGTCCCAGGCCACTTCTGTCATGAACCACTTGAAGTCTTTGCATTTTAGATGTTTCCGTAGCATTTTCTGGGCGGTGAGGTCCCCGGTGGAGAGATGCCGATACTCAGGTCTCCGCTGATAGATGTATTCTGCATACTCATCCATCCAGGTCTCTGCCACTCTCTTCAAATTCTATGAACAACAGTAAAAAAAATCCAGTTACCATCCTGGTTCACGTAAACTGATTAACCATGTATTTAAGGGATCAATCCTCTCGTTGCCTATTTCATAGAATTTTGCAGCAAATGGAGGCCATTCAGCCCATCTTTCAGGTACCAGCTCTTTGTAAGGTCTATTTAACTACTACCAATGCTCCTACACTTTTCTCATCGCCTTCAAATTTGCCCTACAAATGTAGTACAAATGTACACATTATAAGCAGGAGCAGGGCATTTGAACTATTGAAAATTACAATTGAATTTGCTTCCACTTTTTGACAGTACACCCCTGATAATGACAACTTACTGAAAAAAGCATATTTTCACTTACCCTATTTCTTGATCGAAGTCCATAAATTTGGCCTCTTTACTGACTGACCCTCCTGCCCCAATGAAAGCAGTTTTTCCCTGTCTGTTCTATTAAAGCCTGAACCTTTCTGTAATTTTGAACATTTCTGTTTAGTATTTAGAAATGTTTAATACACAGAATTGCAGTTTACAAGAGCAGTTACAGGCATGAGAAACTTCAATTATGAAGATCGATTGGAGGCACTGGGACCGTTTTTCTTGGACTGCAGGTGGCTAAAATGAGATAAGATCGAAATATTCAAAATCAGGAAAGGTGTGGATAGAGTAGAGAGGGAGAAATCTTTAATAACCTTGATGTTTCAATCCTCAATAAAAGGATTGGGAAGAAGAGTTTAGTTATTTAAAGTAAGTTTCGAAAGAAATGTAGGTAGGGAGGAAAAAGAAAATTAATGTAGTAAATAGTTATGATTTAGAATGCACTGCCTGGAAGTGTGGTTGAGAAAGGTTCAGGCATTGAAGAGGGAAATAGGTGATTATGTAAATAGAATCAATATGCAGTGTTATGGGGTGAAGGTAGGAAAATGGCGCTAGGCAAGCTGGGATGGGTGTGATGGATCAAATGGCCATAATAGTTCTGTAAATGGGAAGAAGAGAGCTTTGCAACACTGTTCTAAATGTCAAGAAAATTGGGTCAGGGAAGGTGCAGGGACAGAGCATATTTGTGATGGTCGGAAGAAATCTGGGAATGGCTGGGTAAGTGGAGGTCCTGTTAAATCTAATGCCAGGACGTCATTGTCATTTTTTCTTCTTGCTCCATTTCCTGCCCCACTGAACAGTCAGCTGCTAGGCAGGAAAGTCTAAGGCAAGAGGCTGCAGCCCCTGGCCAATATGCCTGCAGCCCCTGGCCAATAAGCAACATTGTGCATTTTGAGAGGCTGGGGAATCAGACCAGCAACTGGAAGGCATTGGTGTACAAGAAGCACAAGATGGACCACCCATAGAACAGTTGCTTGAAAGGCTGGAGGAAGCACAAATGCTCCTCTCAACTCACAAGCAATGCTGGATAAAAAAGTATGAAGGTTAGGGATGGAGATTCAGAGCCAATAACAATAGAACATTATAAATTAGGAGGTTGGCACTGGAGGTTGGTAAGAAGAATACAATTCTCAGAGGTTTGTAGAGACAGAGGAAATCGCTGAGATAAGGAAGTCCTATGAAATTACATAAAATAATTGGATTCAGTAAGTCACACCTCCCTTGAGTTGCTAAGTTTTCTCAAGAGCTTGGAACATCTGAGTTGCCAGAAAATCTGAGCCTCATCAACATATAATCATGGAGGGCCCACCTCTTCCTGGAGGGTTCTCAGATGCTCTTAAACTCAAAGTGGTGAAAATGAAAGGAGGTAATTGCTTGGGACAATTTACAACTAGTGTGACTCCAAACCCCACCCACCTTTCTTTGGGAGATGATAACTCTGACAATTATTATGCAATAATGACCACGGACTGCAATGACTTACAGTGAATTTATTAGAGACGGTTCAGATGACCATTTTCAAGACCATCTCCAATTCCTTTTCATTTTGTAACCAGGGCTTCAGATTAGGGTTAGGGTTAGGGTTAGGATCAGGGTTAGGGTTAGGATCAGGGTTAGGGTTAGGATCAGGGTTAGGGTAAGGGTTAGGATTAGGGTTAGGATCAGGGTTAGGGTAAGGGTTAGGATTAGGGTTAAGGTTAGGATCAGGGTTAGGGTAAGGGTTAGGATTAGGGTTAGGGTTAGGATCAGGGTTAGGGTAAAGGTAAGGATTAGGGTTAGGATTAGAATTCAGGTTTGGATTAGGATTAGGGTTAGAATTCAGGTTCGGGTTACGTGTTAGGGTTAGGGTTAGAATAGGGCTAGGGTTAGGGTTAGGTTTAGGGTTAGGGTTAGAATTCAGGTTTGGGCTAGGATTAGAGTTAGAATTCACTTTCGGGTTAGGTGTTAGGGTTAGGGTTAGGTGACACCTGGAGGTTCTTAAAAAACAGATGCAGTTTGACCTGAAAACAATTTTACTTCAGCTCCCTTGCAAAACCAACAATAAGAACAAAATGCTTTGTGTAATGCCTTTAGCACTGTAAAAATGTCTCTGGACACTTTTGAGAAGGCTAACTGAAGTCCACCAGATTGATTCTTGGGATGGTAGGACTGAACTAAGAAGAGAGACTAGATTGGTCAGGACTATACTCACTGGAGTTTGGAAGAACGGGGGTGGGCGGGGTGTGGTGGTGGTGGTGGATCTCATAGAAACCTATAACACTGTAACAGAACAGGACAGGGGAAGGGCAGGATGTTTCTGATGACTGGGGAGTTCAGAACAACGGGTCACTGTCTCAGGATAGGGAGTAGGCCATTTAGGACAGAGATGACAAATTTCTTCATCCAGAGGGTGGTGAGCTTGTAGACCTCTCTGCCACAGAAAGTGATGGAGAGTATAACATCAAAAATCTTTAGGAAGAAGACAGATGTAGTTTTTAGGGCTAAAGGGATCAAGAGGTATGGCCTGAAAATGGAACAGGATACTGTGTTGGATGAAAAGCCATAATCAATTTGAATTGTGAGCTAACTCGAAGGGCCAAATGGCTTCCTCCTATTCCTGTTTTCTTTGTTTCTAAATGGATTGTAGTGGCTCAAGAAGACAGCCCACCACCACCTCCACAAGGGCAACTGGGGAAGGGCAATAAACACTGGCCCAGCCAGCAAGGCCCACATCCCATGAGTGAATAAATGGGGACTTTGGTCTCATATTCACTTTCTTGCCTTATCTCTGCATCCTTAAATTTTCATTGTGTCCAAACTATTACTCTTGACATCTTTGTCAATACCTTGTAATGAAAGCCTCATGGTATTCAACAGGTAGAGTTGGCTGTGTGAAACTATGCCACTGTTTTAGCACAGGTCTGAGCTTTGTTTAATAGCAGGGAAGTATTGAAGCAAACAAGTGGATGCTGGGCATTAGCACAGAGTTGTACATTAATCCGTCAAGTGGCAAATTGGCAGGAGCTGCAGATACCCTGGCAGCATCACGCTGAGCAGTATTGCTTGTAACTTGTTTTCCTTATTGATTACCAGTTACCACATGATGCGTAAATTACCTCTGCACCTCAGCAGTCTTCACACCCAGCAGCTCCTGTCCACTTATAAACACATATCATTTCTTTTGTCTACTATGGTGATTAACTTGTTACTCCCATGTAATTAAAGTGACTCAAAGTCCATTACTAGTACTGAATAATTTACAACCAATTATGATCCTTTTAAATTTTAATTTAAGGCAGCTGCAGTTGTGGCCGTCAGATTCTGTGTGCGTGTTTAATGAAAGGCTCAGCCCCTGTTTTCTCTCTCTCTTTCTCTAGAAACCCGTACAACACTGTGGTGATAGGTTCATAGGGACAGCTTGATGTCTGCAGAATGGGATGGATTTCAGACACAGCCAGAAGTGCCAATTGGACTTGGCATTGAGTTAATTTGACAGTGTGGAGAGAACGCTTTTTCTGATCAGCAATTATTTAATGGCAGGACAATAGAGACAAGAGAAAATGCTTCCACCTGATTTTAACTTAATCAAAAAACTGCATTTAGAAAGTTTCCAAGTCCGTGTCTCTCTTTTTTATAATTGCGTGAAAAAGGCCAGAATTTGCTGCCAAGGAAACAGCAAGTTTAATAACACCATCACTAAAGCATCAAACGTCCAGCAAAATGGGGCAAGGGTAAGAAACCTCACAAAATAGGAAGACACAAAATGATGACGAATTTGTGTCTGATCTGCCATTCCTCCTGTAAAGATAGCACAGGTAGCCAAAATAGGCCTTCCTAATGTGTCTACCCAAGATTTTACTGTGAGCCCCATTTCCTCGCCTCCCCACCTGAAGTGCAGTTAAATCTCACCTGGGGCTGGATTTTGTGACAGGGTTAGAGTCAGGTTAGAATCCAAGTGAGGCAACAAATGAATGCTGCCACATTGGTTAGTCAATACTTTGCTGCTTCCATGCAATTGTTCTGTAGGCGTACTCTCAGGGAGCTTGTTTTTATTAGTCTCTGGGACGCAGCTATCACTGGCTAGGGCAGCATTTATTGCCCATTCCTGAATGCCCTTGAGAAAGTAGAGGTGATCCACACTCTTGAATCAGCTGCAGTGCATGTGCTTTAAGAAAGGGGATTCCAGGATTTTGACTCAATGACAGAGAAGGAATGGCTGATATTTGAAATCAGGATGGTGAGTGGCCTGGAGAGGAACCTGGAGGGGTGGTGGCATTCCCTTGTATCTGCCCTTGCCCTTCTCAGTGGTACAGTGTGTGGGTTTGGAAGGTGTTGTCGAAGGAGTCTTAATGAGTTGTTAGCCATATGCCCAGCAATGGCGGTTAGACAACTGCCCCAGTTGGGACCCCACTTGGTGATAGGTTGAGGAGGCCAATTGAATTTTCATGGTGTCAGACTGAAACTACTTACTACCCTAGATGGCTTCCCAGGCCAAGCTGTATTGTTATACAAACATACAAATTAAGAGCAGGAGCAGGGCATCTGAGTGCTTGAGCCTGCTTCGCTATTCAATAAAATCATGGCTGACATAATTACGCTGTATTTCGATCTACCCTTGAGAACCTTTCATCCCCTTGCTCATCAATAATC